CTTCCTGGGTCATCCAAAATTTTTCCCATAGCATTTCTATGTATTTTGCCTCAAGGCATGATTTGTTTTTTAGTTCTTCTCTTTTTATTTTCCAATTCTAGATCTCTATACAGTCTAATACTATGCTTTAGCTTCTCAAGCTGCCCTTTGAAATCCTCTGTTCAGCTCTTTTTTCTTTGTCTTTTTTTTTTTTACTTCAACATATACTCCTTCTGTTTTGGCTTTGGATATCCCATTGAATTTTAATATATTGTGGCTTTAAATATATCATGAAGTGAAGAAAAAAAAGAGATGTGTTTTCGAGGAAGTGCAGGCGGAGTGCTCCTTGGAGATAAAGATAATAAACCTTTTCTCACATACTTTGGGCATATTGCCAGAAGAGCCTATTCATTGGAGATGGACATCATGCTTGAAAGCTAGAGGGACAGTGGAAGAGAGAAAAACCCTCAACCAGGTGGATTGGCACCAGAAAGGCCTTAAGTGTGTTAGAGATTGTGATGATGGCACATGATAAGACAGAGTTCATTCTGTTGTTTATTGGGTCACTGTGAATGTATTTGAACCATCAATACCAAACAACAAGAATGAGGAGAAGTAAAAGAAGTCCTTTTAGTGTAAAGGAAAGATTGCTGGATTTTGTATCATAAAACCTGGTTTAAAATTTTATTTTTTCCTACCTTTTTGTATGTATTATAGTTCTAATATTCTTGCATTATTATTTTTTCTTTAATAGAAAATTATTGCTAAAATGAACTTTTATGAGATAACAACAACAGAATACAGATAGCAGCTCTCATACTATCAGGAGGCACCTATATTGTAGTCGCTAAAGTAAATTTTGAGTTCTAGAACTATACTAATTTTATTAACAATTAATTAAAATTAATGAATAACATTAACATATACTTCATTCAGCATTTATGGAAATAATGTATATCTTATATGTTGCTGTTGAATTGATTCTTTCTTGTGGAGTTTATCTCTCAGTAAGACTTTCCAGGCCATTAAATCTGACTTGACCATGTGAATGAGTAGAAATATGTGAATAGGGCATGTTAGCCTATCTACAAGGGGATTAGCTATCTCACCATTCCACAATGGGGTTGGCCAGTCTCACCAATCTTCAAGGAAGTTGGAGAGTTGTGCCAATAAGTTGAGCAGCTCCAGCAGCTAATTAGACCTTCCCCAATAGTGAAAAGATGAAGAAGCAAGAGGATGTAGCACACCCTTCAGGACCAGACATTCTTTTGCCACATACACCTATGCCATTCCTACCCATAGCCAAAATAGAGGACCAGAGATAAGACATGAAATGGAGTGGGCTACGACCTTGCTCTTCTGCCCTCAACACCTCATGGACAGAACCAGAGCTAAACTAAGAACCTCTATTCAAGTTTGTTAGACAACTTTGTGTGGTGAGGGGGAAAGCCAATATTAGCAGAACTGACAACTTTGTAACATTGTCCTTAATCTGTGGGGTTTAAGGCTGAGGTGCTTGTGAGCAAATTTAGGAAGCTTTCTGACTATATTCTGTTGTTAATCTAGATTAACTTTTGAACTTTCCCAGTGTGGCTGTGTGTGGTCTGTAAGCTATCATATTGGACTGTGGACCCAGTAAAGCAATAAGATTGCTCTTGAGATGAGTAGAAAGTGGTATAGGAGCATAAAGGACATGGCTGACCTCATGGGAGTTGGTTTTGTGTTACTGATGTTGTTGATGGGAACACTTCCCCTTTGTGAAGCTGCTAAAGGTCAGATATAGCCCTCCCCACTGGCCCTTTCTTTTTTCATCCCAGAGAATAATACCACACAGATATTAAAGAGTTCATGGTTATGGCATTTTTAGGAAAGTTAACTTTTTTTTTAAGCTTGCAATACATTTTTTTTGCAATACTTTTTTAAAAAATTTTTTATTTTTATTTTTTGTTTTAATTTCAAAGAACAT